GTATACGTGTATGTGGCGACATACACATATAGATATTCTGTGTATTATTTTATTACTTACAGATACCGAAATGTATTTTCCAAGAATTTCTGCGCATTTGCTGGCTAATGCATTTGCCAGCCATTCCATATGCTATCAACCAGGCTATATTGCTTTTCGCCCTTTCTTACATCCCTTACACGCGCACATACAGGCACACACACCCATACCCACACCCGCACACAGATGAGCATATTTATCAGAAGTAAATGGAATTGCTTTTGAAAAAATAAAAAATAAATAAATGACTGACGAATGTCACAAAATTGCCAGCGAAAATATATAACTAAAAAAAATAAACAAATTAAAAAAAATTTTTATATTTTTCTGTAATATTCTGAAGAAAAAAAGCACGTTTTAATAAACTAAATGTAAATTTCTTGCTATAAATTATTCACGAAATAATTGATGAGGTGAAATTGCAGAGGCGAACGAAACGAGACAGAAATTGCAAAAAAAAACATATTAAAAATATTACATTAAAAAAAGGAGAATTCATTTTTATGCTTGCTGATTAATGCAAATAAGTTTTATAGAATTACAACGATTTGCTTTTTTCCATCTGGCTGTAATCTTCCGTTATTTGTGAATCTCAATTATAACGTCAATTGGTTTTCAGCTGTTTGATAAACATTAACTCGTATCACGAGCCTTCTGCTCCGAATAAATATTCGATTAAAACATAATCTAATTCATATGCATACATTAAATACATATGCCTGTGGCTGTATAGGTATTCAGCTTTTAGTTAGTTTATACCATATTAAAAGAGCTTACCTGTGAGTACCCGATTCGATTCTCTTCTTGCATATTGGAAGACTTTAAGCACTGTTATGTAACTGTTGTGAACTTCTAGAAACTGTTTCCAACTTTTACTCAGCTTAAGGCTTAAAAACAAAACTAGAAATAACTTGTCATCTGCATTCACTTGAAGTTTCCATTCGACTCGGCTGGGGCAGAAACCAAAAAAGTGTCTAAGTATTAAATATAAATAATATAAAAATAAATATATTCATTTATTTTTATATTATTTATATTTAATATATAGATATATATATTTAAATTTATATAAATATATAAATATATATATATATATATATATATATATATATATATATATATTTATATAATATATAAATATATAAATTGTTATGCAAAGAAACAAAATAAATAAAATTCGACATTACGACATCAAAATTCGAACCAATATTCGAACAACATTTTTTGCGTAACGCGCATCAACTCTACAAAAACCGCCACTGTTTAAAAAAAAATTATCATTAAAAAAAATCAAAAAAAAAAAACTTGCTTTCGCCGTCTGGCATTGAACCCAGAATCACTCGGCAGCGCACTGCTATAACACTGCTACTGCACTGCTTGTCCAAGCAGTTTCAAATGTCAACTTAAGTAGCAGCCGACAATTCAAGCACAATTTAATTGCAATTTCGATTATTCGTGTGCACATGTTTTACTTAACGGATTTGAATGAAATTTTAAGCATATGATCTACACATTCCATTGGAGTTATTGTCAGCTTAGTAAAAATGCAAACTTCTTCACATATTGACCCTATTTCCAACTGAACTTAAATTTAAAGAATTTGTCGGAACTTGGAGCTCTATCCGAAACAAAACTCAAAATCGTAAAAGATATACATTAAACTAAATACAATATTTGATGATATTAAGCCGTGCAACATATAATTTAATAGCTGCATTTCGATCATGTTTTTAATCGATAACAATAAAACGGAAATTTTTATCGATTATTATAAACATGAAACTTGAGTCGCTTCAGATCGACGCGCATGGACAGACAGGCGGACAGGGCTGAATCGACTCTGGAGTCTGGAGTCTGCCACACCTCCTTCTGCCTGTTGCTTGCATCTTAACAAAGCTATTATACCCGGGGCGCTTCCGACTGCATAATACTCATTCACGTTCTCAACGCTGCCAGCTTTGAAAAACGTTGGAAAGGATTTTCCGCTTTGGCACGCCCCCAGCAGGCGTGGACATATCGCAGTGGGACAATGCTTCACTTCCTGAATGAGTAAAATCCATAGTTTTTCACCAACTTCACACTTCTTAGCTCACGTCAGAGAATTACTAAATGGGCATTGATTATCGATCAGTCAATCAATCAATCAGTCGTTCAGCCAGTTTTAATCTGTATGGAAGATGCCTGAGCCTTAAATAAAACACATTTTTGTACATTTCAGATGTTTGACTAAATTGTTTATGATTTATTTATTTTATTTTATATAATACATATATATATATATATATATATATATATATATTATGCGAACTGTGGTATTTTTTGTTGTTCTTTTGGTTTTCTTTTACATTCAATTTGGGTTCTTTTCTTTATTGTTGTAATACACCAAAAAAAAAACATATATATTTATGTATATATATTTATGTATATATGAAAATTCGCGTAGCGCGTATCGTACATCAAACTGTTATACACACATATTTCTGCGTACATTTAGATGTTGCATATTACATAAACTGTTATACATAGATGCGGATGTCTTTAACGGCCCGTTAATTAACATTTAATTATATTGGTTGACTAAAATGTAGTATATATACTATTTTTAGTTGATCCTAAATGCTAAAGTTCGACTTATGCAGCTAGAAATCGATCCAAAAAAAAAACAATTCGTATCTCATTATTTAGTTTGATTTCTTTTTGTTTTTGCTTTTGTTTTTGTTTTTTGTTTTTTTGTTATGCATGCTTCATTAGTATTTAGTGGTTTTGGTATTTTTACTTATTTATTTATGTACGTTTCGCTTTCTCCTCTTCCTGCTTTGGGTATTTTTAATGCTCTTTTGTTGATATAGTATTAAAGAGTTTACTTTGAAGTAGGGCTTAATCGTAATTACATGAACTTATGTTAAATATTTGGTTTTGCTATCAGTTGGCATTGTTTATGTTTGCTATTTGGCTTGTAAGTGAATTTGACAGTATGACAGTATGACAGTATGACACAATTGCAATATAACAAATAGAATGCAATAATGCGCTCTTTAGTAGATTCTCTTATTATTATTACTATAAATTTTTTTCCACTTCATTTCATTTCATTTCATTTGTTTCTTTATTTGTGCCACAACCCATAAATTTAAAGCGACGTTTATATTTTTTGTTTTTATTTTTAATTTTTATGTATTTTTTTAGCTCGTGTCTCATTTCTGCTACTATTCGATTATTTTAATTTAAAACCACAAATTGAATGTGGTAAAAAATGAACAAATTTACTCACTTTCACTCTATCTCTATCTCACGCACACAATCGAAGTCCACTGGGATGTTAAAATTTAATTTATTTTCAATTAAAAGGAAAAATCAAGCGAGCCACTCAGTTGACAGCCTCGAGTTACGAGACAAAAGCACAACACGAATTGGCAGCCCCCAATCAAATGACAAATAAAAAATTGGCAGTCGCCCGCTCAATTACCGACAATCAGAATACATTTAAAAAGCATTTAAGCCTAATTGCTGCTGCACATAAAGTCAGCAACAGCAACAACAGCAATGCTAACAAAACGCTAAATTAAATTTAATAAAACAAAAAAAGCAAAAGTAAACAACAAAATACAAATGGCCAAAATGTCAATAAAAAATACAAAATGCAAAATCCAAAATCCGAAGTGATCCAAATTTTATGCAGCCCGATAATTGATGGCACTTGCTCCGCTCGGCGAGTTTTGTTTTTAATGGGTTTCAGTTAGTAATTAGCTGCCATTTGCCGAATGGGTTTGCTTAATTAGGACACATGTTAATGCAAAGTGCTGCAGTCGGCCATAGCCGACTGCGCAATACTCGTCCTCAGCGCTCTATTTCTCTATTCGGAATTCAGATTAGGCTAAATTTGCTTTGATATAGTAAATGAAGCTGATTTCTAACACGTTGTCAATAGTCATTTCTGGCTTTAAAATAATTCGAAAAATTCGTAAAAAATTTAAAACTGTTATACTGCAAACGAATAGTGAAAAAACTGTTATACACAGCATGCGTTGTTTGCTAAACTCTTTGCCTAACAGTTGACTGGCCTCATATAAGAATTATAATAGTATAACAGTTAAACTGTTATACACAGCATGTTACACTTAACAGCACAGAGTGTTGCACAGCTCAATTCAAAGCAAATTCCAAATTCTACATCAATTAAACAATAAACAAAAGCAAAAGAACATAAACAAAACAAAGCAAACAAATGAACGAACAAATCGCTTAAATAAACTTTGTCATTTTTGGACTGCGTACAATTTGTCATTTCGCATTTGCAATTTGCATTCAGTTTGCCCCCGGTGAGGCGGGCTGCTCCTAGCCCTAGCCGTGGCCCTGGCCCCTTGCCCCTGCCCCTTGTCCTTTGATTCCTCGTCCCGCTTTCGCATTTGCATTTGCATTTCGGGATTGCGCAGTTATTTATTATTCATTGTTTTAGTCGCATGTTGCGCACATTTATTAATTTCTCTTTCACTCGTTCAATTATTTATTTTTTCTCTTTTTTTATTTGTATTTTTGTAATTTGTAATTTGTATTTTGTATTTTGTATTGTGAATTTAAATTTGTTTTTTTTTCTTTTTTTTTTTGTTTTTCGCTTTTGCACACGGATTTTAATAAATGTATGTTTTATAATTATTTGTTTGGTTATTTTGTATATATATTTACAACAGGCGTGAAATGTTTTTTTACCTTTTTTCATTTGTTTTCCTTGCACCCTGTAACCATTTAAAATGGACTAAAGAGGGTATAATAGTAATGTGATAGAAGTCTTCTTCGAATCGTATTTGGTATATATATATTCATATTTATATATATATATATATATATATATATATATATATATATATATATATATATATATATATATATATATATATATATATATATATATATATATATATATATATATGCATGCAAGAAGAAGCACAGCTGTGCGTGTGGCTTGTAGAGATGAATGCTTCAAAGAAAATGTTCATGCCTCGACACTGGCTACAGGGTATCTGCCAGTCGCTGCTGCTTGCTGTGTTTACACGCATTTATTTCACAAATATTAGCTTAGCTTGCATTCAGTGTTGTTGTTGTAGTTAAGCTATTCACCTAATTAGCCTGCAGTAACTCCCAATTTGTAGGACACTCCCTCTCCCTTTCTGTCTCTCTCTCTCGCTCCCGCCTCTCTGTGTGCACATACTTACAGTGCGAGATGGATGCTGCTTTACTTAAACGCGAATCACCTCTCCCGGTGCCTGTTTCGGGCAGAGGGCATCGTCGATGCTGTCGCGCAGTCGCAGCGCTGCATTTAGCTCGTCGTCGGCGCTGTCGCTGGCATTGGGGCGTGGCTGTTGATCCGCACCGGCCGTCTGTCAGGTGGCTGGTCACATGAACAGGTCCACTGTGGTGGCGCCGCTCGACTTGCGTGGCGTGGTGGGTACACCGTGCGGACAATGTGTGCCAGCAGCAGCGCCGGCAGCCGACTTCGACTCATCCTCGAACGTAACCATTTTCTCGCTGCGCGGCTTGAGCGTCACAATTTGCAACTGGGCTGGCGGTGGTTGCGATGGTGTGCCGGCGCCACAGAGCAGCGTCTGCGGCGGTCCCAGCTGCAGCCCATGGGGCATGCCCATGCCCATGCCCATGCCCATGCCCATGTTGACGCCCATGTTGACGCCGACGCCCATGCCCATGGGCATGCCCATGCCGCTCATGTTGGGAGAGAAGCGTCGCGGTGGTGGCAGCGCCAAGTCGCCAACGCCGGATAAATTAAATTCGCTTATGCTGCGCGGCACAAAGTACTCCATGTGATGCTCCGGTATGCCGGTCGAGCGGCGTATAGGTGTATTCCGCTGGAAGGCCGACGACGAGGCGCCTCCGACTCCGCCATGCAAGTGACTGCGACGTGGCAGCGAGCTGTACTGGGTCAATGTGTGCGCCGGGCCAAAGAACATGGTCTGATGCTGGCCTAGACTGTTGGCCTGAGCCTGAGCGCCAGTGCCAATCGCAGCGCTGCCGCTGGCACCCAGCATCTCAGCGCTGGGTCGTTGTCAGGAGGGCTTAGGCGTCACTGGCACCGTAACGAGAGTCAACTCCTCTACCTTGGGCGTGACATGATCCTGCACACTGAAGCGACGCAGCCACATAACAATCTCCGTCTGTATCAAGCTGAAGCACATGGCCACCACAGCCATGCCGACCAATATGTATGCAGAGGCCATATACAATGTCAAAGTGCCGCTGGGTGCCAGCTCGCCGAAGCCAATGGTGCCCAGCGAGGTGAAGCAGAAGTACAGCGACTCCAGCACGCTCCAGCTCTGCAGCTTGTGGAACAATATTGCTCCGCTGGTCACATAGCACACAAGCACGCACACACAGATCGAGATTGGTACACTGGACGAGCCATCTAAGGCGGTTTTAGCTCCCTGCTGCTGCTGCTGCTGTTGTTGCTGTTGCTGCTGTTGCTGTTGTTGCTGTTGCTGCTGCTGCTGCTGCTGTTGGTAGACGGAGGGCGGAACGCCGTATTGATGCATCTTGCTAGTACCCGGGTGTCCGTATTGCTGGCCCTTGGCCTTGTCTGGTTTGCGGCTGCCACTAGGTCCAGGTGTGGGGCCACTGGCAACGCTGCCCTTGGCACGCTGCCGGCGAAACAGGCAGCGCATGCCGGTGGAAAGGGCCTCGCCCATGGCGGACAGATAGAGCAAGACGATGGGTATGCCGAATAGGGCGTAGACAAGAGCAGCCACGCGGCCCCACTGGGTGCGCGGCGAAATGCCGCCGTAGCCTGTAATAGAAAGAGAAGATGTATAAGTATAACAGTATAACAAGTTTGCAGTATAACAGTATCAGTATTACAGTTGACTTTATAACTGTATAGCAGCATAATAGTATAACTGTATAACAGTTTAAAGATATAGTAGTTTAAAGGTATAGTAGTCTAACTGTATAACAGTATAACAATATAACAGTATAACAATATAACAGTATAACAGTATAACAATATAACAGTATAAATGTATAACAATATAATAATTAAACAGTATAACAGTTCAATAGTATAACAGTATAACAGCATACAAATATACCAGTTAATAATATGCTATTCGTTTTCATAATCTATATAGTAACGGCACCAAAGTATGTATCTAATCAAAACTAATCGAAGTCGCAAACTCCTAAATTCCTGTATGTAAAGTATAACAGAATTTAGAACAGACCTATGCAAAATACATATGTTTAAAGGCTTCCAAATCTACTGCACTTTTATATATAAATATTTTTAAATGTTTAATCTGAGTAAAACACTAGCCGAAAAGCAAATGTGTAAAATTTTGTAGTGTGGACAAAAATACTTTGAATACAGCTGAGTGCCTGTATAACACAAATTACTTTCCATTTGGGTATAACTAAGTAATTATGCTTTCCAGATATTCATATAGTTGGCTTGCAAAATAGTTCAGCTCTTGAGTAAGAATTCCAATTAGACGTGGCCCACAGTTCAAGCGCTATGCCAGATATGTGCTTTATAACTGTTTATGTATGTTGTGCTATATTTATATAACAAATGAAATATTTTTTACTATCACTTAACAGTTTTTACAACACTCTGATGGCTTAGTGTTGTTTTTACTCTATTTTCTTTTTTTTAACTTTATGGCACATTCCTGTATCTGCGCATTACATTGCATTACATTACCATTGGAGTACCAGAGGGTCAGACAGAGTAATTTGCCTGCTGCTGCTGCTGCTGCTGCTGCTGTAGCTACTGTTATACCAACTACAACATTTTTAATTTTTCCTGTGTTGGGCACAAAAAAAACAGCAACTTTTACGGCCAGACGTTTTGCTTTGACTCAGTCTTTGATGTTGTCGCTTTTGCTGGCTAGCTGGCTGCCTGGCTGGCCCAGCAGCAAGAGGGCAACTCTGCTGGTAGTCGTTATAGCTGCCGGGCACGACCTAACCCAACAGGATGGCAGCCCTAACCAAAAAGATGCCATCGCAACGGCCGCGGCAGCGGCGGAGACGGCGCCGTCTCTCGCTTCGCCTGCCTCAGCAATGAACTTTTAATGTGGAAACTTTTATAATTGAGTAAAATGTGCGTATACATATAAATGGCTTTGTGTATGCGAGTGTGTGAGTGTGTGAGGCGACTATGTAGCCATGTATTAAATTTTATTACTTAAAAATAAAAAGCTAGCACAGCGACAGCTATAATATCTGAGAAAAACAAGCGCCTGTCACTAAGGGTCGACGCTTCGCCTATAAAATGCCACGCAAATAGTCCGTGCAGCGTTGCCACATGGCACATATTCATTGCTTCTATTAGGAAACGATCTGACAATTGCTGAGCAGCATCAAAATTCATGAGTCAGGCTATATGAATGCACTGCTTGGCACGCCCCTCTGCACTGCTTGCAGCTCAACTGCATGCAATCAAGCGCGAACCTCAGGGAACTGAAGCTGAGCAGCTAAACTCGCGATTGATCCTTTTTTTTTTTAAACTATTAATTATTTAACTTTATTATCTGAAACACCTCAAGAACTTTGAACTTTGAACTTCAAGCTAAGATCGTAGTACTCAATTAGTAATGCAAACAAAATGTAGAAATGTTTATCAAAATTATGTATTTTAATCGGATATCAGCAAATAAACAATAAATCAGTAATAAATCCAGCCACGTTACTGTAAGCCAATAGAGATGTTATAAAACTAAAGTAAAGCTTATGAACAGCAAACATTGATTTTTATGATATTTAATACGATAATTCCAATGCTGGCAGTAGAGCGTGACGCAGTTACAAATCTTTCATGAAATATGATGTCAATATAAATTGTGGTGCACAGTTCTAATTGCAACTCTCGCAAATTGCCTTTTAATAGATTACAAACTTGCATTTACAGGGTATTAAAAATTAAAACGCCCACACATACACGCACACACACACACATGCACATACGATCAGCGAATGCTTTTGGTTGTAGCCTTAATGTAATAATACTTTTAAACCCGAAGCACGTTTAAGTGCACATCTGCTAGAGCCGGAGTGAGAAAGCGAGATATAGAGTGAGAGAGAGACTGCGTAGGAGATAGCAGTAGCTGGGTCTGAAGGGATAAGGTGGACTCTGTCCACTAGCTATGAAAAAGTTGCTAAAAATTATCATCATCCATGTCGTAGCCTCCTCCCTCTACCGGAACACGCCTTGGAGACCTATCCTGCCACGCAGTCCTGCCTCCTCCTTCATTTGTATTTCATGAATTTGCACCCATAGCAAGGCACATGGCAAAAATTGTTAGTGAAAATTATAACATTTACAATATGGTCTGCATAAAATTGTATGTGGTTATAACTAACTAACTAACGGCGAGCACATGTCGGCCTCCGGATAAGGTACCAGCTCCACTCACTCCTCTGCCCCTCCTCCCCCATCCACTGACTGCTCGTCCACTGCAGTCAACACATGCAATTGGGATAGAGGAGGCAAAGTCATAAAGATTTCTGTTTAGGCAACGGCGACCCGCAGGCCCAGCAAAAACTGCCAATTATGTTTAGCAATTTTCAAGTTTTTGCCTAGTAAAACTATTTGAAAAATGGGTTTTTCTACCTCATACAGTTGATGTTGTTGTTGTTCGTGTTGGGTTGGGCAGGGCTAGATTGGCTTGGGCTGGGGGAGGTTCGGCGGCAGGGGCATGGGCCCCTCTTCAAAGACCGCTCAGTCATCCACATGACATGCAAATTGAAGCAGAATATTTAAAGAACCAAATGTGACATGACAAAACGTTTACTTTTTTCACTGTTGACTCTGGGGTTCGTGTCAAAGATTACAAATTCATTTCGAAAAAATTTAATACAATTTAAAAAGGTTTGCACTGAAGTCTATTTGTTATTATTTTTCTAACTAAGTTGTCTAAACGACCGTCTCACAGTCGAATTCCACTCTTTGGAATATATAGACTGAAACTAAAAGACATAAAGGAGATTTCCTACTTCCTACTTCAATAGAACGAAAGGAGGCTATAGAAGGCTTGTTCCCCATCTTCTTTTTCTTGTCAAGCAGTAACCTATTAATTGTTTTAAGTTATGACAGACAGTAGCGTCGCTAAACCCAATGAAAATATAACAGTTTTGTTGCGTATAACAGTTAATATAATTCATTCAATCATAATTTGGCAAACATGTTGCACATAACAGCTAATACAATAATTATGATTTGACTAACACTTAAGACAGTATAACAGTTTGGTTACATATAACAATTGTGCTTTGGCTAACATGTAAGCTAGTATAAGAGTTGTGTTACATATAACAGTTAGCACAATAATTATACTTACACTAACATATAAGGCAGTATAACAATTTTATTACGTATAATAGTTAAGATAACAATCACAATTTTGCTAATATGTATAACAGTTTATATAACTGCTACGCAGTATAAAAGTTTTGTTTATTTAACTGTTAATATCCTAATTAAGATTTGTCTAGCATGTAAAATAGTATAACAGTTTTGTCACGTATAACAGTATTTGTTGTGCTCACGCAGCTGTATCCATTTCAATAACCGGCAGAGATCAATTAGAGCATCTCAATTAAAACTCTCGAACGATTTTCATGCAGTTCACAAACATTGAGCAGATAATTTGAATGAGGCCCAACTCGGTACACCCTGTTGTTGCATTTGGCAGAGTGAGTTTACGGGTTGTTGTGGAAATTTCACTCCCTTTTTATGGTTGCTTGAAATAAGAGGGGGATTCTGGCTTTGAGTTTCCGGCTCATGGCGAAAGTGGCCCAGTTCCGCTTTTGCCCAGAGGCGTGTCCAATTGTCCAGGAAGCGGAAATGCAGGGGTGACGAAGGGAGGTAAGGGCTGGCGCATATTGCGCATGCAGCTACGCAACTCGTTTCATTTGATTAGCGGCCATTGATTACGATAGCCAACAGCAGAAGCAGCAACACAAACAACAACAACAAATGCAAAGCAAACAACGAGCGATGTCCGGCCTCGCAGGCATGACCTCCAGCTTCAAAGACGGCCCTAGACGCGGCTAAAACTGAATGGAGCTGGGAGACGGACACAGGCTATAGAAGAGGCTAAGCGGAACTCGAGGGGTTAACCGGGTATTGGAGGGGCGTGGCAAGGGCACAAGTCCAACCAACAAATAATAAAATATTTTACAACGGCAATTTTTAGGCATAAAGTAATTACACACAGAAGCAGAGGGTCAATCGCGATCAGTCGTTCGACCTGTAAAGACGTGAATTCGAACAGCCTTCGCTTAAGCTCTACTGCTGCAGAGTTCTAAAAATAGAACTTTGCGGTGCATTCTTCAACGCAACAGCAACAAAAACCGCACACGCAGCGTTTTCTTATCGCTTGCTTCCGCGTAACTCAATTGCTTTAATTGCAATTTACGAAATTTCGTCGCTTGGCGCGAGTGCGCCTGCACTCAAAAGCACAATCCGCGATGACATCTAATGTCAATAACCTCGCTACAGCTGTAAAGGTAAATGCAGAAATGCAAGCCCAGCTTAACGTTGTGATGGCAAATAGGCAAGCCTCCATCATGCCAATAAACTCAAAAATAGATATCGCCTCCGTGCAAGGCATCACTAACAACAAAAACACGAAACGTAAACAGCCAAATTCACCAAAAACCATCAAGAAAAGGCTCATCTTCGACGAACCAAGCACCAGCAATGCAGCATTAATATCAGAAAATCGATTTTCACTGCTCGTAGAAGAAGATGAAGACTACAGCGAATCACCTGTAGCTCCAGAAGCCCCA